TATATATATATATATATATAATTTTTGATTCTCTCACTAGAAGATGAAAACGTATTAAAGCTATGCAAAAGGATTCTGAGAATGACAGGAGTCCTAATAAATGTTCAAAGGAGATTCCTGGTCTATCTTTATTGTGGCTACTAGGCTAGAAATAAATAGTGTTAGCACTATTATTCCACTAATATATATGCAACTGTTTGTATGACGATGGCTTACTAGGTATTGGAATATAGCTTAAACTATGCCTTGCTGAAAGAAATCAAAGCCTTATATTTGACACTTCAGCAAGAGGGAAGATGTGGTTTCTGCAAATGGCAGGAGCTTTGCACTCACAGAATGACACCATTGGATATAATCCAATGCACATAGATGCATGCTTACATCAATTTATCAAAGCATACTGTTTACACAGTGAGTTAAGAGTTAAACACCAACAGATTTGTTCACTAAAACAGCTCAGGAATTTGGCAGAACAGTTTCTGCTGGGGAAAATGAACTATGGTTTAATTTTGTTATTGTAATTCTTGTGTACTTGCATAGTGCTTTTTTCTTTTGAGGTGCCCAGATTGTTCATATGTTCAGTCTCTGTGGTTAGCACAGTTACTTCCGTTGTAAAAAGCAAAGAAAGTTGGAAAGTGAATGCTTGATTAGTGCGTGAAAGTAGGAGAATCTTGATCATAGAAGCATATTCTTTAATGAATGCACTAAGCTGTTGTTTGTTCCACCGTTCTTGTGCTTTTAACATTTTTATTACAAACACACTTCTGGTGATATATCCAAAAAGGTGATTAGCAATAAAATAAATGAAAATATACAACCCTATACTGATTACAATTAAGCATCTCAGTGTGCACATAGAGCTTTATTTATTTATTATCAATCTTTTAAAACAAGTTACAAATTCATCCAAAGTTTCTGAAAGTACATTTTGTATCACCATTCCTTACCAGTCCAGATTCTCTTACACAAATATAATTTGCATAACAGTGCTAATGCTTTCCTAAAGATTATTCTTGTGCCATGAAGTTAGCATTGGACTTAAATCCATAGTCTTTGTACATATAGAGGGGGGTTTCTGAAATAAAGCTTCGCAGTTCTCTACAAAGTGAAACTTAACAAGTCATTACAAAGATACATCCAATAGTGTAATAGGTTTAAGGTCGTTTTCCAAAAATATAAATTTATATGCATGGTGCCAAATACTACTGACATGCTTCTGATGTAGTAAATTCTTTTTTTAAAAAAATAAAATTTATATGTCGCCCAATCCCGAAGGACTCCGGGCGGCTTACAAAAAAAAGAGAAAAAAGAGAGAGAGAGAGAAAAGGTCAAAACGGTTTAAAATCACAACACCACATACATTCATTCTAATTGGGGCTAGACCTCAACAGTGAGGTCAACAGCCCCAGGCCTGCCGGAACAGCCAGGTTTTTACAGCTTTCCTGAAGGCCATGAGAGTGGGTATGGTCCGGATCTCTGGGGGTAGCTGATTCCAAACAATCGGAGCAGCCACAGAGAAGGCTCTCCTCTGGGGGCCCGCCAGCCGACACTGTCTGGCTGATGGCATCTGAAGGAGGCCCAATCTGTGGGATCTTACTGGCTGTTGGGAGATATGTGGCAGTAGGCGGTCTCGAAGGTACGCTGGCCCTAAGCCATGTAGGGCTTTAAAGATAATAACCATTGAATTGCGTCCGGAGACCAATTGGTAGCCAGTGCATATATGAAACTGCCCTAAGTTCTTTGGGGGAGGTAATCTGGTACTATCTGCCTGCTAACACAAATCAGAAGCTATGGTAGTCACACATATTACACAGAACTACTTGTTTTCACAAGCTTCCCTATCTGTAATTATTAAGCCAGATACACCCAAAATTTCCACTTGAACTGTATTAGTACACCTTTTTTCTAGTATTGTGTTATGCTTACTTTTCCCTTTGGTTTTATATTGTTGCTGAATCTTCCCAGAGTTCATCCTTATTCCATGATGGAGGAATGGTGGGTGTTTGGTGACAAAAAAAGACTCAAAAATGATTCAACAAAATACATTCTGATAGAAAAAGGGGTGTCAAGAACAGTCTTTTTTCATGAAGAGGTTGAATAATATTGTGGAATAACAAGTAGGTTGTCACTGTACTATATTAGACTATTGTGCTGCATTAATTTCATAAGATATAATTATAATTATGATAATGTATAGGTAGCGTCCTATAAAATTTAATTCGGCTGTTCCAATATTCTGGTGTCCTTTTAAATGCATTCAACTTTATTTCTATTATAGCTATGCTTCAGAGACTTATGTCCTCGACTTAAAAATGTTTGTTTAATGATGGTCCAAAGTTTCAATGACTTTGGAAAAAGTGAGTTATGATGTTGTGTTTGCACTTACAACTGCTGCACCACCTCCCTCGTCACATAATTGCAAGTGAGGTGCTTGGAAAGCAGCTCACATTTACAACAGTGTGCAGTATCCTGTGGTCAGCTGATTTGCACCCACTGGAGAAGCTGAATTCACTTAATGACCACCATAAAATTAGTTGTGAAATTGGGTCTGACTTGACTTATGATTGCAATGACTTATGATGGAAATTCCAGACTCAATTGTGGTCGTAAATTGAGGACTACCTTCACAACTCTTTGGATTAGCACACTGCATGGATAAGAAAAAGTAATTGTTGTCATATTCATGCATTTGATTTACCAAACAGACTTTCAGTATGTATTTTTAAAGGGCAAATGTCTTCCATACTATTTTTTAAAAATCTCTCAAGGGTCTTTTTGAGCAAAATGTTTAGAGACCTAGAGTTTAAATTTAATGCCTTAAGAGTTTCCATTCAATTAATTAAAACTACAGAGACAAATGACCAATAAACCTACATTCCTTACAGTTCTTGATGTGTGATATATAATATTGTTAAATTTTTATTGTTTATGAGCAGATCTCTATTTTGTTTATTACTAACTCTACCAATTCAAGTTATCAGAGTAATATTATTCTTTATAATGACTCCAAATCATTTTTATTTACAACTGCAGTAGCAAATAGACAGTTGCACATTTCAAAATACCAGCATAATATAGTTAAAGGTTTGGTTTTTAAAAAAAATAAATATTGACATTAGAAACTGATTATAACATCACCACAGCTTGTTGGGAAGTGCTGGATGAAATGCAGTTACATATGGAACTGATCAGCAGAGATAGACACAGGGGAAAAAAATTCCCAGAAAAAATAATTAATTTCCTTGCTCTTAGAGAAGGAAAGTCTTTGCAAAAGTCATCTATCTGAAATGAGAGTTTCTTTCCTAGGTGTGAGATGTCATTATAGATGGCAGACAAATTGTGTTCTCCAATTTCCATGATTTAGCGCCGACTTGAAATTTCCACTAACCCATGAAAACCTGCCATTCCATTGAAACAGAAGAGTTATACAGTTGTTGCACCCTCTGATTCATGTTTCTCCTTCTTTTATGTGGCCTTTAAAAGCAGTCAGCTTTGTTTGCACAGCTATGGCCTTTTCAAGAAAAGGCAAAGTTAGCTTTATTTTTTATTTTTTTATTTTTTTTTGAGAATGCAAAATTCCATGGCTTAAAACATCATTATTTCTTCCAATTCATTTCAGGATCAAAATAGGATTATCAAAATTAGCAAATTAGGTGGGTTGCTCAATTTATTTGGTTCTCCTTTTGCAAATTAACAACCTATCTTTTTCCACCTTAAACTTTCTTGTGCAAGTCTATGGGAAGGTTTAAGCTAATAATACAACACTTATAATGTTGGAATGAAACTAGGCAGTTTAGTATTAAACTGAGCTATGGAAGGACATTATAAAAGTCGGTCCAGTCTGGAACTTGCTTTTAATGCTACTGTTCAGCTGAGAGACACAACAGTGTCTTTTTCTACCAAATATCTATCAAATAATCAACATCTACTCAAACACTGAATTTCCAAACTAGAATTTCCAAATAAAGACAAAGTTTAAACATTTCTCTTCTTAAAAGATGGTAGATCTGTGAAACACCAATCAAATATATTTGGATAAGTTCCTTAGTGTTTGAAATCATTTAGAGAAATAAAAAATAATAATGATAGGATTTTCAGCTCCATATAAATTCTCCACATTTTCTTTCATTGTTATTTCTAAAACCCAGTTGAGAAGCAACTATTTGTTTTGTAAATTGTTCAAATATTTGACACTTCACAAGTGTCAGTGATAACCTTCCTTTTCATTCCTCCACCCCCCAACACACTTTTTTTTCTGGAATGCTTGTTAACTTTGGCAGGCTTTTTATCATCTGAAGGTAGAGACAAAACTTTTAATGAATGTCTGCTAAACAAGGGCTTTAGGTGGTATTAGACAATGTTTAGATTTGTAACTAGCAGCCAAAGCTCTTTGTTTCAGGGACCCAGATTTCGGTTCTACTGTGGAAACTCCATTTACATAGTTTTAATAAAGATAGCATACAGTTTACAGGCTCACCTAATAAAGTTAGTAGAAAATAGGAAGGAAAGATTGAGAAATTAAGTGATCAGATGGTATTGAACTGATGCTGTAAGTCATTCTCAGCCGCTTACATATTGAGCATTCATTTAAAGGTGCTCCAAGGAAAAAGCCATACATAAAAATTCTGAGCTGACCTTCTAATAAGAGTAAATAACCCATCAGAAGATACAATACAATACAATAGCAGAGTTGGAAGGTACCTTGGAGGTTTTCTAGTCCAACCCCCTGCCTAGGCACGAAACCCTATACCGTTTCAGACAAATGGCTATCCAACATCTTCTTAAAGCCTTCCAGTGTTGGGACATTCACAACTTCTAGAGGCAAATTATTCCACTGATTAATTGTTCTAACTGTCAGGAAATTTCTCCTCAGTTCTAAGTTGCTTCTCTCCTTGATTAGTTTCCACCCATTGCTTCTTGTTCTACCCTCAGGTGCCTTGGAGAAGGAAGGAAGTCTTTGTGGCAACCCTTGAGATATTGGAACACTGCTATCATGTCTCCCCTAGTCTTTCTTTTCATTAAACTAGACCTACCCAGTTCCTGCAACCG